GGGGGGGGGGGGGGAGGATATTCCAAGATTAAAGAATCAAAAGGTAATAGAGAGGAAAGTTTTACTTGGAGCAAGATACCGAACATCAACTCAACTAATAATCAAGGTGAAATACTTCAGCAACGTAAAAGAAGGTTTAGAAGAATGAAGTTTGTCTTTAAACCATTCAAGATACAAGAAGAAGCAGAGGTGAAGCTCATAGTTATTGCCACACATCGACTTATACAGATTGATCGAAAGAAGTTGTACGGACTGCTCGAAGTTGTGCGCTTGATATTTTTGCACGAGTATTATGAGTAGTAATCTTACCGCAATATGTATTTTTCATAACATGTATTATTTACACATAATTTTTAATATGAATATGTTACCGATTATTTTGAGTTGCATGTGGGGACAAGTCCTTCACTCGATATGATACCAAAATTGATTATTTGAGATGATTACTGTTATTTTAGATATTCTCGTTGTTACAAGATATTTTTTTCGTTTTTTGAAAGTTGAAATTACTGTTATCGAATGAAATTTTATGATTGATAAGAACTGAGATGCCCTGTACTATTTTAAAAATATTTTTATACAAGTATTAACTGATTACAAGATAAATATAAATGGGAGGAGACTTTGAAGGATCCCGTAGCTAATGACATATTCGTTAGACCTGGTGCACCTTGTATTACAGATTACCGATTACAATTATAGCTCTCGCTAGTAGGAAGTAGAGCTAGCATACAATTACAGTTTTCCTCGAGTAGCGACCTACAGTTATATTTGACTCCTTTTACGAAGGGGTCCACACAGTAATACAGATTACATGATCCTTTCTTAGAAACGTGTTTACCGAGTTCATTATTGATTTGTTAGATTGATTTCTATTACAAGAAACACATGAATAAACTAATTATATTTACCATTTTGAGAGGGCATTTTCTTATAAATAGTTTCTGATTATTATTATACGGGCATGTTTTCTGACTTGTCCCCAATTTAAAACGGTTGTGGTTAAGTAATATTACTCACTGAGCTAACGACTCACTCCCCGCTATTTTGTTTACATAGACAATAGTTAACGCGAGTGAGGATTTTGTTAATTAGAGTACACGAGTTTATAGTTTATGGTGAGCCCCGCACTTGTTCGCGTGGGTGAAGAGTTTATTTATTTGTTATCGTCTTTCCTTATGAACTCTTAGAGTCGCTCCCTAGTTATTTTTATTAGTGTCATGAGTATTCAGTCGTTATATTGGACTAGGTACTAGTATTATACTTCTTCCTGCATTTTTTGATGGGTTTAGTATTATTATGTTGATAAGGTTGGTAATATTGGTGAAAACTCATTTTTGGTTAGTTTATGAAGATTGTGACTGATTTGGGTGAATATTAGTTGGTTGTTATTTATTTATGAGACAGGAAAACTTTTGGATAGTCCTAAAATAGGGAAAACTCTATCCGATTTTCTGTAAAATACCGACGAGGCTTACTTGGGGGGTACTTGCTCCTAAGCGCTGGTTATGATCCTAAATTGGGTCTTGACAAAGTTGGTATCATAGCCCTAGGTTATTTCTATGACTAATGGAGCACAAGTTAGTAGTAGAATCTCAATTATGGTATATAGCCAGCCATTCCTATAATCGTGATTCTACGAGACGTGATAGGATATTTCTTATCTTCCTTTCTTATTCCTCTGTACGTGTGTGGCGATTAGGATGAAATAACTGAATGTCACCTTTTACCTTGTTCCTATATGGTGCATACCAGTCATTCAACAATAGAGTTTGGCTAGAGGTTCAAGGATACTAAAATGCTGCCACTGGACATCAACTGTCTCCCTGCAAAGAAAAGCCACATAAATAGTAAACAAGGCTAATGAAAAGTTCGTTCTGCCACAATAAGGGGGCTTTCATACCGCTAAGATATGTAATGAGGTCCACTCTGAATTCTAGACCACCATCATAACTAAGAGATTATTGTCATTGAAGTGCTTACCTTTATGCAGAGAATAATTGAGAGCTTGATAGATATAATTGGTAGATAGGACAAAAATGGGTAATAGATTAGGGATATAAAAGCTTTAGGTATCTGGACTTATTAAGATCGTCAGAAGCAGAGATGTCTTCTTAATAAAGTTCCTAAAATTGAAACCACAAAGTTTACTATTGTCACGACCCAAAATTCAACTTGTCGTGATGACACCTAACCCAATCTGCTAGGTAAGCCAATTAACATCTATCCAATTTCAATGAAATTAATAAGACAATTTAAATAAAAGAAATTATCTGAATCTTATACATTCCTCAAAGACTGATAGTAAGAATAGAATTTACAAAATTGGTATGAAATACACACATCATATGTTCGAAATGTACATAAACAGATTTTTTATTAATCTAAGGCTACCATGAACAAGAGGTAGCTACTACCGGAAAGCAGGTACGTCTTCAATTCCAGCTCCCGTCGATCACAGCAATATCAGCAGCCAACATCTGCACGCAAGGCGCAGAGGTGTAGTATCAGTACAACTGACCCCATATACTAAATAAGTAACAAACCTAACCTTAGGTTGAAAGTAGTGACAAGCTGGAACAAAGGTCGGGTCCAACACCAATAGTTAACAACAGTTCATAACAACATAAAGCAACTAATAAAAGAAGTAACTCAGAGATCAAATGCTTATTTTTTTTCATAGTTTCCCAAAAAATAGTTATGCTTTTCAAGTATATGAGTGAAAATCCAAATCCTTTACCGAAATCGTCGAAAATACGAGTAAGTTTGAAAATTGTAATTTTTCCCAAAAATCCTTTCAACAATAAATAAGATATTTTATTTTCTTTCCAGATAGCAAGTGTAAAATACCTTTCTATGCCCATATGTCAATATGTATGAGAAGTCATGAATGACGTGATACCGTACAACATGAGGAAAATGCATCTCTATGCCTATATGTCATGTGTGCATGTCAGTGCAATGTATCTTAGAGATGAACTCATGTACTCACACTCTCAAAATACTCAATCTCATTGTCTCACACACTTTCCACTCACCATGCTCAATCACTCAGTACTGTATATGGTCAATCCGGCCCAAGGAAGATCCATCCCGGAATATATACATCAACTGACCATCCATCACTCAATACTGAGTAGGGCCAAATCTAACCCGTGGGGAAGATCTATCCCTAGGTATATAAATGTTTCGGACAAGATCCATATCCAAGGAAGATCCATCCCTCAATATAATCAACCGCGTTCACTGG